TGTAGTTTGGCTTCTCTTGCCTTGAAGGTTCGCCCAGAGGTGATGGCACTTTCTTTTTGGAATAGGGGTTCAGGGATTAGTTGGCACAAGCCAAATTGTCTCGAAACGAAGTTGAGTTGATAAGCAAAAAGGAAGATTTGATTCTTAGCAGGAGTAATTCGTGAGGAGATTAGTCTGGGAAGTAAAAAGGCTTTCCATACATCTTGAATTTCTTTGCTTTTGATTGCTTCTGAGAGAGCCATGGTGAACCACGATGGTCCATGAGTCCTTGAGGCAAAGGGCTCCATGGTCTCTTCGAATTTGTGTCTCTTGGAGAAGATCATTATGTACTTGGAAAAGAGAACTTTGAAGTCATCTTTGTCATCGTTTGGGGTAAGTCTTCGCAACCTAGTACCTTCGATGATTCTATCCGCTATTTCCGGATCTTGTTCAGCAATAGTGTTGGCAGTTGATAGTGAAGGTTCAAACATGGCATTAAGCCATAACTGGAGTAACCAGAAAGGGCCAGCTAGCAGGATGTTTTTGGAGGTGTGGGATTTCAAACTCGAAACAGCTGACCTTAGACTTTCGTAAAGATCAACGAGTAGCAGTTCGCTTAAACACACCCTCCGATTCTCATGCAAATCTCTAGCTAGAGGAATAAACCTACTGGCTACCTGTAGGGACCTGCTGCAAAAGACATACCTTGACAACCATAAGGTAAGGAAAGCAATGTGTTCCACATCTGACACACTGTCTCATTCAGTGTGATAGTGGCCAATGAACTTTGAAAAGCTGGCTAGCTTGACTTCGAAGTCAATAATACTCGAATGCTCTTCATTGTCAGGAATGTAGGTTTCTCCTATTGGTGATAACCCAGTAATGGCTGCTATGTCAAAAAAGGTGGGTGTAATCATTCCACCAGGGAGATGGAAGGTATTGTAAGTACTGTCCCAGAAGTATAAGGACGCGAATAATAATGGGTGGCTATAGGTAAAGCCTGGTTTTGATAGTTTAATCAAGTTGTAAATACCTAATTCTTCCCATTGCTGGGATTTCTTGGCTTCTACTTTAGTAAACCAGTTGTGATAAGCTGTGTCGGAGGTGGGGCAAGATCGAAATGGTTTGAAGTTACTCTTTACATAATCTAGCACAAAAGGGTCCTTAGGGGGAATGATTGGAGTTTCCACGGTGGTCGAATCAGAAGACTCTACTGTCTTAGGGGTATCCATTTTATTAAACAAAGGTTTAAAATTATAACAAACAGGGAAAATTTTTCTGGTGTCTTTTAAGATTTCAAAGACTGTAAGAGGGCCCATTAAAGCTAACCTCTTGCCAGCGGCGTTAGTAGGAATTAGTACCTGAGATGCGTAAAGCATTTTCTTCTCTTTTGAGATCATCTGGGGAATAAGCACAGACTGACCTTGGTAGGTGCCAACCTTGCTTTCCATTATGGTTCCTGTGTTCTTTCCTTTCTTTTTGGAAGCTTTTTTCAGTTGAGATGAAGTTGAAGAAGACATTGTTGGAAGAATGTTGGAAGTTTAGGGTTTCGGTGAGAAGAGAGGAAGAAAAAATTCAGAATGTGGGAAGAAAAGAAAAAGACTAAGTTGATGGGTTTTTATAGTGTGGAAGTTTAAACATCCACTGAGTAAGATTGTGATACGTGGTAGTCGTGGGTTGGTTTGAGAAGGAGGTGGCATAAAGTTAATATTGGTAATAGGCGTGATTTAATAAATAATCATTGTTGTGTAACTGCACCATGCTGTGAAACGGTTCAAGACGGTTAAGGAATCTGAAAAGCGTTGTGATTGACATGACTGGAGTCATATGCAATAAATGTTACGATGATTCAAAGGTCGCATCAAAATCTTGCGTATATGTTTAAAATAGGTATTTCTCAAAGGAATCGAAATACATATTTTAAAGGGGCATTTTGTTGGCTGAAGATTTTGATGATATTGTTCGAAGCGAAACAAATTGGACGTTTCGATTGGAATAAAGCAAGATGTCATGTTTCGAAATGGTAGAAGCAGTGCTTCGAATGGACATATCAAAGCTTGGAGCTTCGAGTGACAGTTATGAGGATATCTTCAAAAGAAGTCTCGAAGTGGTAACAAGGCTGTGTCCAAGAAATGCGTTCGAAGCGAGGAAGTGCCAAAACATTTCAAATTCAAATGCAAGCGGGATGTTCGAAATTTAAAATATATGCGCTGGAGCATTCGAAGACGCGTGGAAGCTAGAGAGAGGCATTGCTTTGCATGTTCTGAACGTGGCAGAGTCTTATAGCAAGACCGTTATGGTCGAAGTAGTATAAATAGAAGTCTTAGCATTAGGATTTCGTGTGTCATATCTATTGTACAAAAAACTCAGTAAACATTCAAAATACCACATGGCTAGGGAAACGAATGCACGAGCAATGTACGTATGATAACACCAAGTGTTTATGATTTAATAAAACTCTTTATCATTTCCAGTATTTTCCTCTATCTTCATGTCAATACCATTCAAAAGCCTTTGCATTAAAATATTTTCATTCGAAGTCTTTTTACTGATGCCTTACATTTAAATATTTTCTTTCCATTTCAAATACTTTACATTTCAGAAACTTTTGTATATTTCATGCCTTTATCTTCATGCCTTTATCATTCGAACACCTTTTTCATTTAAAGTCATTTTACTGATTTCTTGCATTTAAATGCTTTCTTCATATTTCGAATCTTTTACATTCCAGAGAATCTTTTACATTACATGTTTTTATGCTTTGAAGTCATTTACTTGTCTTTTCTGCAGTTTTATATGTCTTTACAATTGAACTTTATTCATGCAATTTAGTTTCGCGCGCATTTACTTGATCATGTTATTAGATCTTTAATAGAGTAATCGAAGTAAGTTAAACACCTACACAACATTCTAAATACCAACCATGAATATCAGTTCTATAATGAGAATTATCCAAATGACCAATACATCCTAGGATCAATCTAGTCGATCCTGCAAGTTACCAGAGAGATTAAATAACAGTCATTAAGATTATTTGATAGTTTGGAGGAGTAGCGGTTGTTTACCAGAAATCACTGTAAACAACTATAAACACTACTAAAGTGTAATATCCTCTGAAGTGAAATTTTAAAGATTTTTTTTCACACTACCTCTTTCATGAGAAATTAACTTGTCACCTTCCATATTATACATGACACTCTGCAAATGGTACGAAAAAACTAAATTATCCAGACTCAAATCATTCACCATATATTCCAAATTCACGTTATCAATTGGATTTTTCAATTTTTAAGCGATATCGGAAATTTCTCGAACAAGTGAAAATTTACGGTAGATTTGTGAAATTTATGATAATTTGTACCGGAAATTTTAAAATATCCGGTATTTTCGTACCGGAAATTTCAAAATATCCGATATTTTCGTTTACCATTTATACCAGAAATTTTAAAATTTTCCGACTTGTCACATAATACCGGAAATTTTGAAATTTCCGGTAGTTCAATTTTTTTTCTACCATATTTTATTACTACCGGGAATTTCAATTAATTTAAAATTTATAGTACACCTGAAATTTTAAATACACTATCAAAAATTTATAGTATCGAAAATTTCATAGAGGTGTACCAGAAATTTTACTCTTTCTATCAGAAATTTCATCTGAAAATTGTGTTCAACTCATTCAAAAATAAAACTGGAATAAAAAAATGAGGGATGTTATGTATATTTTGAGAGTGACGTGTTAAATTCTCTCTTATTTCTTACCAATTTCAACCAAATTATACCTTTCATTTCCAAAAAAATATAAATAAATATTTTTTTTTACAAAGACTACGTTTTTTAGGCGGTGGCATATACATGATTATAGCATTCCAATGCAATCAAAACGTGAAAAATATACAAAGACTACGTTTTGTTAGGCAGTGGCATATACATGATTCTAACATCCCGATGCGTCGTTACAGTTCCAAACTAGTGCTAAATAAGAGTAATTGAGAACGGTTTTACTTTGCAAGGTCTGCATGTGAAATTCTCATTATTTTGTAGATATCATTTTGTTCAAGTTTATCTATTCAGATGGAGAAAAAGATGGTTTTTTCTCCATTCAGATTGACAAATCTAGATGGATGTGGTTTTTGCAAAATCAGCAGGAGCGTAAAAGTATCTCTTCGATTTACTGGTTTCAACATTTCTGAACAATTAGGAATAAAGGCTATCAGCAAGCTTGTACCAAAAAAAAAAAAACTATTAGCAAGGAATTATACATAAACAAGAGTGCCTAGAAGATATTTCAGTATATATCATTTCAAAATATATGTAACCATTTTTCGCATTCTGAATATAGTCTATGGTCTATCCCAAAGCTTAATGACAATTAAATAGACATATCAAAACATTTTTAAAAAGTTTTGAAAAGTATTGCGAATTTTAAAATTTGAAGACCAAAATAAACATGAATTTAGAGGAGTGAATTTAAGTTTTTCATAAATAATGGAAAGCAAAGATACCAGCAATTTAACATTTAGGCCATGACTTACAGCATGTCTTTCTTAATTGAAACATACTTGGCCCAGAAGAAAGCAAAAAAAAACATGTTTCTAGTGTTAAACAATACTACTGAATTGCTTGAATTCACTTTTGCAACATTTTCACTCAAACGAGGTGTGTATATTCATTCAAAGCTGAACAAAACATAAATCCCATGAAGTATTGAATATGGAAAGAATGAATACATCATGACAAGCCTACATCTCTAAACGTCAGAAAACTTCTATTTGTTTAGTTCCCTCAATGAACTTCCCTAAATCTTCGGTTTACTTACATGGAGTGAAAGTACACAGATCAAAAAATAAGATTACAGATTACTCTACCCGAGCAGGAACTGCTGATCATCACACGTGTAAAGAACTGCTGCATGAGAGTATACTTGATAGGCAAGAGCAGAAGATTACCATTAACTGCAGTGCCATTAAAATCATAACCAATGGGTGAACGAATAGAGTAAGATCCAAGATGCTTTGCAGTTAACTGATAAGGTGATATTGAGCGGATATTCTCTTTGGTGGCAATTTGCGCAATATGAAGAGGACTAAAGCTGAAGGCAGGATCTCAACCACCTGTATTTTAAAAGGGAATGGTAAATTCTCATATGTTTAGAGAGTGACACCAAAGTAGTTAGAGCAAAGCAACTAACAAAAAGGAACACCAAATAAAGTACCATGTAGTAGAGGAAGTCCAAAATCGGATGGTCCACAACATCAAGAGATGCATCCGAATCAAACGCAGATACAAAAACCTATATGTGTAACAAAAGCGTAATTAAGAAAGAAGCACTTAAATAATAACACGTCGTATATCATTATTAACTTTAATCCTGGAGATTTTGGTGCATGCTTGGTATGGGTGGGTTCCAAGAATCATGGTGAGCCACCATGATACCAAACATGCACTTCGTTTTTTCTCCTCCAATGATTCTTTGGTCTTAGTGAGCAGAATCCAAGCAAAAAAAGAATAAAATTTTTACACCTAATATTTACAGAAAATAAGAAATAAATAACATTGAGAAATGCCAACTTGAACATAAATAATATAACAGAAAAATAATATAGTTAGACGATACCATAACACATCTTATTAGAAAACAGGTGAAACATATGGCCGTGACAAATCCAACCTGTAATACAAAGCCAAATTTATGTGAGCATAATATTATACATATTTTTCAATTTATAATTCATATACATCTCTGGTCATCTGGAGTAAGAGATGAAAATATTGAATAGGTTCTTTTGATTTTACAACGAGATCTAATCTAAAAGCACCTAGAACATAAAATTTATGCAGTAATGTTCTTGGCAGGAACCATAGAAAATTTTCAATTAAAACAAAGATTACTATAAGATATGCACCCAATCACACGCAGAATCATCTCTTAAACGATAGTTGTCAAATGGAAAGAACCAAGCCACTTAGTACTCCATCGAGCATTTCATACTACTAAATGTGAAACTTAAGTATCCCATAATACCAAGTCTCTGTTGTTATTTGCTATAATATATATGAACTTTTGTAACAGAAGTGTGAACTTACTACAACAAAAAAAGACAAGAATAGAACATATGAAACCAAAAGAGAAATGGATGATCGTAACAGAGAAGACACGATCATACATAGAAAATAACTACAAATAAAGTGACCAACAATATTATCAAATATTTTTCCCACAAAATTTTATCAAACTGACTTACAGAAGATAAATTTGACATACCTCTTGAAGCTTCTTTCTTCTCCCCTTCGATTCAATTGGGAAACGCTTCAGCATGAAAAATAATCTGGAAACATGAATTATCAGGTGGAAATAAAAAATTTCACCCACAACACAAAAACCAAAACAAAACCCATTAGTCAAATAACCAAAACTGAGGAATTGCAAAAGGTACTTCATAGATAATCCAATCAACTGCAGAAGTCTCACCTTCCTCCAAATATTAGGAAGCCTATTGCAGCCACAAATGATAGACCTGAAGAAAAGTAAAGTAGTTCTCGTGAAAAAAGAGCTATGGCTTTACCAATATTTCGAAGGTTGCAAAAGCAATTCTTAAACATGAGATACATAATAATTCTTTGCTTAAAAAGCTAACCTCCAATAAATATCTTCCCAATGAAGTCGACGACATCATTGTAATGTATCCAGAGGTAAATCCAAATACCAGCCTGAATCAAAAGCCATAGTTTAGTATTGTGATAGTTGATGTCAACTAGCAAAGAGTCTTTTTAACTCTTTTGCTCTGTTTACCTATGGAAAGATTGTTCCGAATCGAGATGTATCGTGTGGATAAAGAATATGAACAACCCACAATCACAACCCAAAACAGATATCAATTGCATATTTTAAAAGCAACTTTCAACACTGAGAAGCCAGAATTGGTATTCAATCAAGAACAAGTGTCCTAAAATTATCGTGCCATAATAATTTCAGTCACCATAAGACCTTGCCGACACACCAACAGATCATTATTTAAAATTCAAAATAAAAGTTTTCTTCAAATAGAATGCTGCAGACCTAAAATATGGTTAGGGCAAACACCGAATCGCGGGGGAGATTTATTATGTACCAAAACAAACACCAAGGAAATCCCACAAATAAAAAAGAGCGGATACGCTTAAATATACAATATTGCTGTTTGCAACAAGAAATGAGACAGATACCTGGATAAAATACATGAAACCATTTACAGAGATGTAAACTATCCTGAGCTTATCAGTTGGTAAACTCCTTGCCTGTTCAAACATGATATAAAATTATAATCCATTTCCTGATGAAAATAGAAAATGTTTTTCGATCACAAGAAGGTGCATGGTAACTTTCCAATAGCTGGTTCATTACATTCACTAAAGCACAAATAAACAGGTTTAATAGAATAAAGCAACAAAAGAAAAACATGCCTGGTGATAAATTTCAGCCCAGAAAAGGACAAGAAGCGTGTATGTTGAGAAAAACACAAGCCCAGGCAGGTCTAACAGCACCAAAGTTAAGACCTACAAGAACAAGTAAAGTAACCACTCTATGTCAGTAGTATTCAAGCCTTTATAACCAATCATCAATCTCAGCAATTCAAAGTGGAACTGACCATTCAAAGACTAAAGATTCCACATGAGCAAAAGTCAAATATAAAACCTAAATGAAGTAAAATTGTTTATGCTTTCCTGAATTGTTAATACTTGAAGCTGAAATTTATAGCTCGAGTCTAAACGTGATTTATCAAGTAAAAGTGATTATGCTTTCCAGAATTGATTATATAACGCTAGAATTTACAACTTGAGTCTAAACATGAGTTATAGAGTAAAATTTACTATTGAGTCTAAACGTGATTTATACAGTAAAATCTATCCAGACATACATCACTTTAGCCGGAATCAACTTGACATAATCAATTAATTCAAAATCAATTTTCTTGGCTCATAGTATAACCAAGCATACTATTATGGATTATCACTCCCAGCAATTGAAAGTGAAGCTGAATATTCCATAGACAGAAAAGTCAAAACTAACCTTCGGATGCAAGAAAAAAATCCGAGCGTGAAATCCAAACACTAGAGCACGTACTGCAAAATAAAGTTGAAAACAAATGAAAAACGCAAGAATGAACCGAATAATAAAGTTGAAACATAAAGCAAAATAAAAAATAAAAAACCTCCGCTAACAATGAAGTTGAATAAATGAAAAATCTTCTGCGTAGTCCAACCGTATTCCGGTACTCTAAGCTCAATTCTAATGAGTTGAATCTGCAAAATCGAAACCAGAAAATTAATTTAACGTAATGAAACGATGTGAGAGAGAGAGAAGAGAGAGAGAGAGAGGAGCAACAGACGAGAGCGATGAAGGAGATGAGAGAGTAAGCAGCGCATAGAGCGTAGAAGAATAGGTTATGAGAGAGAGTGGAATCGGTGAAACGGTTCCACCAAGACCAATCGGAGAAAGGGAAGAAAAGGTACATCGGTGACGGTTACGGTGACGGTTACGGTGACGGTGACACTTTCCGTCCAATATTACCGGAACGAAAGGAAGGTTAAGCTATAACTTAACGGCTTTTGTCTCGCTGTCAGTCTGGTTATGTGTGTTAGGTAGTAGCTGTGTTAACTGAGTGGAGTAGTAGTTACTAGTAGTTTTTTTTTTTTTTTTGATGCAATCGTTTTGTATGATTTTATTTTTGTAAAATATTATTTCATTTTCACGTGTTTGGGAGTCAATGCTTAGTAGTTGCACTTGTTTTGATTCATCTTTTTCTATCCCAATAGATTTTACTTTATTTCAATTGTAGTTATGGTATATACTTTTTCGATATATAAATAAAAAGATTTGATTAAAAAATTAAGTATCTTTTTGATTAATTTATAATTGAAAATCAAAATAAAAGTCAACATTCAAAATTAAATTTGATTTTTAAAATTTTTAAATTTTATACATAAAATCCTTGTCACTATTGTCATCTTTTATTTTATTTTATATAAATGGGATATATTAAAAAAAGAAAAGGATGCAAAAAAAATAATTAAAGACTATGTTAAAACTCACTCAATAAAAATGAACTTAAATAAAAACAATTCAAACCTTTTCTTTTACATAATTATGCTTCATATTTAAAGATATGGAATAAAATGTGTAAAGAAAGGAAAAGTGTGGTCTATATGTGCAATTAATACGTGTAATTAGAACATAATTAGAACAGTTTCTTTCTCTATATACATGAGAAATTAAAAATTACATGTTAGAGATAGTTTTAATATAACATTGGTTTGACTCTTAGTTGCTAAGACTTCAAGACAAATTTAGACATTTTCAAATATTCAATGTGGAACTTTTCTTTCTTTTTTTCTATCTTTGTTCTCTTTGAATAGAACAAGGGAAGCCATGAAGTTAAAATTACAAACAATAGTTTGCTGAAATTGAATTTCTTGATTTTATTAACATCATTTCTAATGAAGCTCTTTAGCGTTTGGCTTTTTAAATCAATTAATTTTCAAAATTGATTATAATGACCCTCTCACTTAATGGAGTGTAGTTTTGGTGGGAAAGAAATTTTTTCTTGTACATGATATCCCTTAATTATTGTTTCAAATATCTCATTCATTGCTAGATGACTTTGCTCATGTTGTAGTTAAAATATCTTAAACAACAAATCATTCATAGTTTTTGTTTTGCTTTTTAAAATTTCTTATTTATTCTGTGGTGGATTGATTGTCAGAGAAGAATCATAGTTTGTATTATAACACAAGTACATTAACATTTTGTCTTGGGACCTACAGTTTTGATAATTCTATCAAATTCTCCTTGTATCAACAGCTAGTCATTTGATTTCCTAATATTCACCTCTTTCTAGTTTCTCATTATTTACACAAACTCTTTTTTACTATTATTTTTTATTATTTGTTGTTTGATTTAGTATTCAAATTGTTATACTTTTTAAATATTTGTATGATGGTCTAGATATGATAGACATTGTCGTCCGTGTGGAAGAGTAACAAGCTTTACAACATAGAGATTTCAAATTTGAAAAGGTCTAATTTTTTTTATAAATATTAATTGAAATAAAAAAGTATTAAGGGCAAATATATTTTTTATCCCTATAAATATCTCAAGTTTTATTTAGGCTCTATTAAAAAATAATAAATTTTAGTCTCTAAAATTTTTTATTCCTGCAGTTTTAGTTTCTTATATTTTTTAAAATTTTAAAAATTGTTTAATTATCCTTAAATTTTTAAATTTTTGAATAAATTTTTGTATACATGTTTAAAATACTATAAAATATTTCTTTACCAAATTTTAAAATTTTTTAAAACAAAAAATTAAATATGAATTTTTAAAATTTCAAAAGTAATAAAAATATCGACTTAGAAATTAAATTGAATTTTTTTAAAAAAAATCTATTATAACGTTTTAAACATGTCCACAAAATAATCATTCAAAAATACACATCAGTTTAACAATAAGGACTAAAACTACGTGCATAATAATTTTATAGGGACTAAAACATGTCATATTTTTTTATAGGGACTAAAAACAAAATTTGATAGTTTATAGAGACCAAAAATATATTTAACCCAAAATATTATAATAAAAATTTAAGGGTTAAATATACTTTTTATTAATTTCGTCAATATGTCCCATGTTGAACATGGAGATTCTATTTTTATTAATTTATTTTTGATTAAATATTTGAAAGCCACATGGGATTCTTTAATTTCTTAATTTACTTTTTATTTTTTATATATTATATTATTTTTATATTAATTTTAAATTATTATTTTTATTAATATTTTTAGATATTACTTTTTAAATTATCAAAATATTATTCATTAGTCCATAAATCTCATTGATTTATAAAAACTAGATATGTTGTTATACCAATCGATGTGGGACTATAAAAGTCAATAAAAGTTCTAGATCCGCTACTGCATGATGTGGCTACAACTAGGATGGTATATTATGTGAGAATAAGATTGCAAAGGAAGGTGCCTCTTTTGGAACAATTGGACAAAAAGTACTAATGAATCTCCTATTAGCAACACCAAAAATTAAAGGCTAAAGTCTTTTTTTATAATTTCAATGAGAAGCGTCACGTTCGAAAGCAATACTAATTTTGTCAATGTTTTTTCAACCATGCTATTGAAATAGGGTACTCTGAAAAATAGAAATGTTGTAGCAGTCAATAAACTGGTTTTGGGCAAATCCAGCAAGATAGACAATGATTTTGAAAGTGAAGTAAAACTTATAAGCAATGTTCATCATAGGAATCTTATTAGACTTCTTGGTTGTTGCGGTAAAAAACAAGAGAGAATCCTTGTTTATGAATACATGGCAAATAGCGGTCTAGACAAATTCTTATTTAGTAAATCACTTCAATTCAACCACACTCATACAATCATTTAATTTGTTGAATGTTTCTTCTTCTACCTTGTTCATAACCTTAAGCAAAGGAGTTGCACGAACATTGTAAGAGAACAATTTCATTCACCTAGATTACATTTAATTGTACAGTATATGTTATAAAAGAGAGAACTAAGTATCATGTTATGAATAAATCTTATTTTGTTGATATTGGAATGTATAATATGCATTTTTCAGGGGATACAGAATGACAATAATTTACATGCACATTATAAAAACAATATATCTAACATGTTGTCATCACATACCTACTAACCCCTCTTAATAGTTATACCTACATTCATTCGATATCAATAATGATTCAATAGTAAGAGTTTAACATGCTACAGCTGGATATTACTATCATTCAAAACTCTGTATATAAAGTTTGGGCTGTTATGGAAAAGAAAAAGAAAGTGTTTATAAATGTTGCTACAACTAATTTGTGTTTTGAAGCATTATAATCCTACATCGAAATTCTATTTAAAAATAGAAGTGTTTATAAATGACTTTGTCACCTTATATTTCAATTCATTATTAATGGGTTCCGTAATTGAAGAAAAAAAGAGATTTAGACTCATTTGTATAATTTTAATAATTAATTTATAAATTAATTACATTATTAAAAGAATTAATTATTAAAAAATAATATAAAATTTCATGTGAATTAAAAAAAATACTACACGGACTGCCATCTAAAAAGTTAGAAAGATCCCTTTAAATATAGTGATTTTCAATTTTAATCTCTCTAAATATTTTCTTTAACGAATGGTCGCTACAAAATGCTGAAGTATCGTGAAGTGGACCGCAAAACTGAGGAATAAAATGCTGAAGATATTTCACCTACTGAAGCTGAACGACATGCCAATGATAAAGCACGACATGTTGAGGATGAAACACCAGTCACTAGATAACACACCCCTCGGTGATGATGAAGCACCACTGGGTAAAGATGAAGCACCCCTCGTTGAAGATGAAGCACCAATCGCTGAAGGATATAAGGTAGCTTTGCTTTCTTAAAAAGGGAAAAGAATAGTTCCAATAGAAGTTTCTCATATTTCCATTTCATCTAACATTAGAAGGTAAAACCATAGTGTTTGTTTGTTGTAAAGTGTTGAGTTTATAAAACAAAGTCCTTTGTAAAAAGTGATTCTTTTATGAGGTTGGTAATTCTTACAGTAACGGGAAAAGACGAAGTCATGCATGCCAGTTTTAACCGTGTTAGTAGTGTTGCATTCTCTATGCAGCTTGTCAAAAGAGAGTTCAGAATATGAGTGTTTACTACAGGTTTTGGAAAACGATAATGGTCTCTTAACAAAAAATTTATCGGTGAGATCAACCACAGAGTTTTAGTACAGTGCTTCAGTTTTCGAGTATTTTTATAAAGTATGTTTAAAAAGGTTCGTTCGACTAAGGCAAAACGAATTTAAAAGTAATAAAGCAGGACTTGTAAAATAAAACAAATGACGTTTAAACTGTAAAAATAGATGACATTACATCAAAATAGTTGAAAATGGGTTGATTCAAACGTACATTGTCTAGCTTGACTCATTTCGCTCGTTCACTTGGGTACTCTAAGTGACTAGCGTGTAGAAATGTGAAAGTTTGAACCACTAACACTATGCATTAAATGCTTTATTTATAAAACACAAAAATAACTACTTTTCAGCGGGTTTCACTTCTTTATAAGCCGCGTGTCTCTTGTAACTTCCCTCCATTAACCCACATTCTTCATCCCTGCTATCGAACTCATGTTCTCCATTTCTGCTATCGAACCCATGTTCTCCATCCATAACACTTTGCTTTTCTAGTTATGCATTCTTTAGGCTTTTTAACATTCTTGGGCCTAATTCATTCTTCATGAGGCCTCTTTTCTGGTCGACTGCGTTCACAAGCCCAATCGACTATTTGTGAAATCTCTCTCGGTCGACTGCTTCTGTAGTCGACTTCCTATAATTCAAATTTCTCAAAGAATTTTTTTGACTTTTGGTTGGATTTTAACCTTTTGTGAAAATCTTAGCCAACAAATTGTCCTCCAAAGTGTCCTTTTTGAATGAAAGAATAAAAACA